GCGTGTGCTGTGGTTTGCTCCTTCTTTTGCATCGAACTTCTGTCGTCATTATCTCTCATCCTTCTACTTGTATGTTACTATCTCGTGTCACCTCTAATCTTTGGCACTTAGATGACATAATTGTGTTGAAAATGCCTTAAAACTCTTACGAAAACGAAAACTTATCGGGTTTAACAATGAATACATCGGCTCCTCTCCATTTCTGGGCTCCATGGGATAAATAATACGCAGAGAGCTGGTGGTTGGAGGGCGCTACTGGTAGGGCCTACTTCCTTTCTTTCTCTTTGTTGTTTCAGTCTACTCGTATGTATCTTTTTCCCCTCAACTGAAGGACATTTGTCGTGTCGATATTCTCCCCTTTCATTTGACTCTTTCACCCTGGCATTGGATACACGCGCCAAGAAGGGCTCTCCCCCTGTCTTTGTTCTGGGTGATCTTCTCCCCTTCCAGCCAGCTGCGTCCCATAGTAACAATTTGCCCGAGATCTTCTTCGTCTTGCTCCCAAAATATAGAATTTGGCCTCCCCCTCTTTCTCTCCCCTTTACTCGAACTAAACGCACACATAACATGATAAAATACTAAAAAAGAATATTATGTTTGTCCCAATAATTTGACATCGATACATGGTCTTTGCTGTGGCCTGATGGTAATGGTTATTATGCCCACAATGAAATATAAATAATTTTTCTCCATATATTTGCAACTATATATAGCAAATAAAAAACGCAAATGTGTTCGTCAAGTGTAAACAATTTCAATGAATACTGTAATTACATACGTTTGGAGTTGGGATAGGAGTAGGCATGTGGACTTGGGTCTCTATAAACTGTTTCTCCCTTTATTGAATTTACACTAGTGACTAGTGTCTTAACTACTGACTGATTCTACAATCGTATTCATTTGCTTTGGAGTTTATTGTTTTTCATTTCCATCTGACGAACACGATGGCATTTTCTGCCCCCATAATTGATTTGCAAGAGTTTGTTTATACTGTAAAATTGTCCAAGACCCATTGTCGAGAAGTCAAGTGGTTGTCTTAGACAGGTGAACGGCTGGGACTGGGTCATTATGATGGAGAAAGCGCTGGGGGGAGGTGGGAAGTGACCGTTTGTACAGGTGCTTTCCTTGGACTAGTAACCGTTAGAGCAGGTTCGGTTGTATGTTTAAAGAAAAGTGATTTGCGCGGCCGGGCAGATCCCCTCCTCTTCCCTCCCGAACCGTAAGTACTCGTCAAGCCGGTGATGATTTCTATCGAAACTTGGTTTGTGACGCATCCAGTGGGTGAAGGACGGGTGCTCTTTTCAAGTTATCGCTCCCCGGATCCTTTATTTCTTTCTTTGTTAATCTCTAGTAAAACCTCAAATCTTCGACATTTTTTTTGACATATTTGTATTGTTAGTGCCGTAAAACTCTAAATGAAACCAAACTAAAACGGACATAATGTCCTGCCGGTACCCTCACTTTTCTTCAAGAGAGCGGATGGGTTAGAAGATTAGGGGCGGAGGGGGGAGCGGGAGTGGGAATAGGGGAGGGTAGAAGGGTTCAACTGTGGTGAAGTGGTTAGGTACATTGCCGCCGCGCCGCAGAAGATGTGGGTCCGATTCCTACGTGAGGAAATACATTTTAATGTGTATCGAGTGTCAAAATTCTTTCTGCAAGCGTCCCTTTCAGCCTGACTCCTAAACCATCCAAACTGTCGATAGGGGTTTTAAAAAACCCTACATTAAACAAGAGTAGGTAGGGGATTTGGAAATTTGTTGGTGATTTACCTCCTGAAATCTGTCGAGCTACTAAAGTCGGTGTTTGACGGATGCTCAAATGTGGTTTGCTCCTTCGTTCGTATCACATATCTATCGTCCATATCTCTCCTTATTCTTTCCTTTGTATGTTACTTTCTGGAAACACCTTTGATCCTCCGCTCTGTCTGACCTACGTGCACCGTGAAACTCTTACTAAAACTGAAACTAAGATTGCCAAAACTCATATTTTAAGATCACGCCTTATTGACCATGTTGTCTTTATTAACTAACCCTCCAGTCTGTCAGGGGCTGTGTCTGCAGCACGGCTCAAGGTTAAAATCATATGTGCGCTCCCTGAAAACGTGGTTACGGAAAACGTGAAGTGCTAGTAATAATTTACAAATAAAACCACGCAGCACTTTGCGAACTTGTTATTTTGTCTTCGCCGTTTTAGCACAGTTGCCACGCCACCTTTACACGGAACGTCAGTTTTAATTTAACAGGCCGGTGCGCTAATCTCGTCCTTTGTACGTATCTAATGTTTTAGTATGCGCATGTATTTGTTTGTGTTTTTTGCTGGTCCTCCCATAACCTATTTAGGTTGCATCGTGACTGGGTGGTGCCATGGAGACAGCGTCCGGCGTCCATCGGGTGGACCGCACCCGCCTTTGGGATATTTTCTGTATGAGTGGGTTTGTGGGGTATTCAGTGGGTTTGTGGGATACTGAGTGGGTTTGTGGAGGTAGGG